ACACACACACAGTGAGGAGCTATAGACTGTGACACACACACACAATGAGGAACTATAGACTGTGATATACACTCACACACACAGTGAGAAACTATAGACTGTGATATACACACACACACAGTGAGGAGCTATAGACTGTGACACACACACACAGTGAGGAGCTATAGACTGTGATACACATAGTGAGGAGCTATAGACTGTGATATACACACACACAGTGAGGAGCTATAGACTGTGACACACACACACACACATAAATATGTTCACATCTTATGGTGTACATTTTTTTTCTTATTGGGATGCTTTCAGCTCAAGTAAACAATTCACTATTTCAAGAATTATTTGCTGCTCATGAAGGAAACAACAAGCCAAGGCTGGTAGAAATTATTCGCAATGTACATATCTGACAAAGGCCTTGTATTCAGAATGTATAAAGAACTTCCACAAATCTATAATAAAAAGATAAACAACTCACCTTTTAAAAGGGTTCCAGTGACAGGCCAGCAGGTGATGTGATTAAAGCACTGGATTCCCACATCCCCACGTGGTTCATGTTCCCAGACCTGGTGGCTTGAAAATCATGCTAGGTACCTTTGTGTGTGCATGCCCAAAATCCCGAGAAGAGAATGGAGGAGAAGGGACTGTGGTGTAATCGGGCCCTGTCTCACCTTTCCCTCTCTCTGTCTCTCTGTGCCTCATTCCAGTGAGCATACATGCCCTATGGCAAAAACCAGGGGTGGGGCGTAGAGGGGGTGCCAGTGACTTTAATAGACTTTTCTCAAAAAATGTGTTAATGACCAGGAAACTCATGAAAGTTGCTCACCTTCATTAAGTATCAGAGAACACTGTGGGATTCTATTTTATATGCACTAGAATGACTAAGATGAAAAAGACTGGCAACCTCCAAATGTTGGTAAATATGTGGCACAAGCAGAACCTCAGGTGGAGTATGCAAATAGCACAACCACTGAAGGAGACCTTGGGCCATCTACTAACACACACTACCCTGTGACCCAACAAAGTCACTTAGGTATTTCCCCAAAAAATATCCACCAGTCAATCTGTCCATCCAGCCATTCATCTATATATCTATCTCCATAAAAATGTTCAAACAAGAATATCCTTGTAACAATCCTATTGATCGTACTCTCAAACTGGAAATGTCTCAGAGGTCTATCAACAGGAGAAAAGAGTGATGATTTGTGTTTATCCATCCAGTGGGATGTTACTTAGTGATTATTTTAAAAGGGGGCGACAATTGACAGATATGACCTATTACGTCGTCAGGAAAGTCGTGATGTGTTTTTCTGTGCAAAAATGTACCGTGACTTTCCCAATGACCCAGTCGATAAGCCTCAAAGCTATTATGTTGAGGGAAAGAAGTCACTGACAAAATAATAAATAGATGATTATATGCATGTGATGGTCGAGAATAGGTAAAATTAATAAATGGTAGCACATTATCAGAAGAGTATTAGCCTATGGGGAGGTGTGGATTGACCAGAAGGGGGCATAAGAGAACTTTCTAAGGTGATAGGAATATTACAAATCTTTTCCCAATGTGTACATTCCCAAAACTCAAATAATTGTATACGTAAGCATTGTGCATTTCACTCTAAGTACCTTTTACTTCAATAAAAATGTAAAATGATTGAACAATCTAATCCACAGTTTAAGTAGTTATTGTTCTCAATGGGATATTTTGATCTCAAATGAACAAGGTTGTTACTTTTTAAAGTTACTTTATTGTGTTTGGAAATGCAATAAATATGTGTATTAGTCTGCTCAGGCTGGCATAATAAAATACTGTAGACCAAATAAATAAATAAATAAATGCGTGATCTAGAAGAAGTAAATTAATAAAAACAGTAGTAATACAATGCTTTGAAAATTATAAAAAAAATTGCTATAGACTGGATGGTTTAAACAACATCTGATACTTTTAGTTGCTGAAGGGTGACATCAGGGTGCCAACATGGTTAGTTTCTCTTTTTTTTTTTTTTTTTTTTTTTTTGAGAGAGATTTTTGTTATAGGGCACATGGGCTCACAACAGAGACAAAACAAAAAATCACTCCCTGGGGGATGGCCATGCTGCAATCCCTTCTCCTCCATTATCCTCTTGGGATTTTGGGCACACACGCACATGTGCCCATTTTAAATGTCAAGTCACTGGGTCTGGGACTTGAACTGTGGTCAGCCACATGAGAGTCCAGTGACTTAACTGCTATGCCATCTGCTAGCCCTGAGCAGCATGCTTAGTTCCTGTTGAGGACTCTCTTCCAGTTTGTGGATGGCTACCTTTTACCTGTATCCTATCTGTAGCGACAGAGAGAGTAAGCTCCTAGTTTCTGTTCTTATAAGGCCTCTCCTCCCATCATGTGAGCGGCCACCTCATACAACCCCAGTTACCTCTCTAAGAGCCCATTTCCAAATACTGTCATATTGGGGGTTAGGTCTTCAACAGGTGAGTTTGAGAGCGGGGACACATCATCCACAGTAACCTCCATTGTAGAAAGTCTGGAAAATACAAATAAGTGGAAAGAAAACTTTTAAAAAGGGCATATAATTGCATTACTAAAATATAATCACTGCCAACATTTTGACTTATTTTAAGTGCAAAATTTTGGTATTTAAATTTTTTCATGGTTGTGGCCATCCTATATCACTAAGTATTATGATCTTTCTAAATTACAGCGTGGAATTTGTTCTGTGCTACTAACAACGCTTCTCGGTGCCCTTTTCCAGCAGCGATAAAATGTTCCTTGAGTGACTGTGTGTGGTTTACTTGCTATCCTGTGGTTGAGTGTTCAGATACTTGCCAGCATTTTGCTAGTGTAAATAGTGCTGTGATAAACATATGTATACACGAGGTATTTTCTGTAACTTAGATTCTTTCCTTGGGGTAGAATTCTAGAAAATGAAAATTGTACGTTAAAAAGGTTTTGATCTTAGTACTTGTTGCTAAATCTCTTCCAAAAGGATGTCCCAGATTGAATTGCCACCAGCCATGGGGCAGGAAAGTGTTCTTTTTGGTCTCAAAGGAAAGAGAGTCCATTTTTTACTAATGTGTTTAATGGCTTGTTTCCAACAGGGAAACAGAGGCTGCTGAAGCTGTCTGTGGCTGTGCAGAACTCCCCCAGCTCTCCGGACCTGAAGTCCTGCCACTGCTGTCGCCGCCTGTGTCCTAGGCCTCACCTAGATAAGCCTGAGTAGGAACAAGCCATCTCCATCCTCCCGCAGCCATGACCTCCCTCCGGCGGCGTCTCTCTGATAGCAGCTTTGTGGCCAACCTGCCTAACGGCTACATGACGGACCTGCAGCGCCCAGATAGCTCCACCAGCTCCCCTGCCTCCCCAGCCATGGAGCGGAGGCACCCCCCGCCGCCCGCCAGATAGCTCCACCAGCTCCCCTGCCTCCCCAGCCATGGAGAGGAGGCACCCCCAGCCGCTGGCAGCCTCCTTCTCATCTCCAGGATCCAGCCTCTTTAGCTCCTTCTCCAGCGCCATGAAACAGACCCAGCAGGCCCCCTCAGGGCTAATGGAGCCTCCGGGTCCCTCCACACCTGTCGTTCAAAGACCCAGGATCCTGCTGGTGATTGATGATGCCCACACGGACTGGTAAGCAGGAACCTGCAGCTGCTATCACCTTCTGGGGCCAGAGATGAGATGAGGGTTCTCACCTCTTAGAGGCAGTCGGGGGAACTGCAGGAGGCTGGCCGGAGGGAAGGAAGGAAATGTGCCGGATGGTTGCAGTGTGCCAGGCCCCATGGCACCCACTGTGTGCCACATTCTCTCCTAAGTGCTTTGCACTCACAGTCCACAGTCCCTCGCTTCAATTCCCGAATCCAAAAAGCTTTAGAAACTAACACACGTTTTCTAGCAGAGCCCAAGCGGAAGGGAAGTGAGGCTCCTGTTGCGTGAATCTAGCTCTCGGTGTGCTTGTTCCTGTGATTTGCCACAAACAACTTCAAGCGTTTGATATGAGGTGCTGCCCAGAGCTCACTAGATGCGTTACAGGATATAGGGAATGTGCGCCATATTACTTTTATAAAAACAGAGAACTTCTCCCATCTGAAATAGATCTGATAATATTTGCTGGGTAAATTCTGTTAGCCTCAGCTACCCTATTTCCCTCCACACCCCCATAAAATAAGATTGTTATGAGGGTGAAAAAAGCCAGTACAAGTCCACAGCCCTTACCTAAAACCCTTGGGAACAGAATGCTCTTCTATGTACTGGAAGTCTGAGAGAAAGACTGCTCAGTATCTGCTCAGGCAGCGCCCCACAGATGGTGCACCACCCCCCCTCCCCCAGAGGCAAAGACCTGATGTTGTGTCAAGATAACTACAGCAGTCATTCCTCAGGTAGTTCCTGAGCTCCAGTTCAGAGGGAAGTACCGCTTAGGTGCTCAGGTATGATGTGAGCTCACATGGAGCTGCAACTGGGGAATAGCTCTTTACCCAAACAGTGAGTAGTGGGAGGTGATGAATATTATCAGACCAGGGCTGTCCATGTAGCCTAGTGGTTAAGGGAGTTAGATGTCACATGGCTGATCATGGGTTGAGTCCTGGCCCTGGTGTCTTGTAAAACATTCCCTTTGGGAGCTGCTTCCTCTCTCTCTCTTTGTCTCTCCATCTTTCTCCAGTGAGCACACATGTCCTATGGCAATTTATAAACACACACACGTACACACGCACGATCATTCCACTTGGAGACATAGAGGTTGCAATGTAGGGAGTAAGCCAAGCTATGGAGACATGGAAGCACCACATCCAGGCCAAAGGACAGAGGAATACATGGATAGGCACCAGAGCAGTCTGACAGAGGACTCTCAGGCAGACCTTGGTGCTGGAAGACAAGGTTGCATATGTGTGTCTGCCATGTGGTAGATACCCACTCAATATGTATTAAATGGATAAATGAATACATCCAGTTCACTAAACATGTACCTAGATACTCACATTCATTCTTTGAGAGAGCAACTGAGAGGTTGGGAAAGATTAGGCCCATACTTTGGAGTAGATGCTATTTGTAGTTTATAATGCATACTCAATACACAGCTGGGGCCAACCAGTGGTGTGGTGGTTAAGGCAACAGGATCCCACATGGCCAACTTAGCAATTCAAGTCCCAGACCCTGTACCTTGAAAAACACACCAGGGACATGTGCATGCATGCCCAAAATCTTAAAAGGAGAAATGCAGGAAAAAGGATTGCAAGATGGCCATCCGTCATGGGGGGTTGGGGAGGTGGGGAAGGTGCTTTCTCACTTTCCTTCTTTCTCCCTCTCCAGCAAGTGTATGCATCCTCTGGCAAAAAAGAAAAAAAAAATTACATCTTATACATATATGCATACATATACAGTCAGTATTAAGGTATGCTCAGCAGATTCAGACACCAGTCTTTATTTTCCTGCTAAGAAATCTTCTCATGTTAACAAGGTGGTTTTGTGATCACCTCTGTTCTGATTCAGACGTTAAAAAGGTTTTGATCTTAGTACTTGTTGCTAAATCTCTTCCAAAAGGATGTCCCAGATTGAATTGCCACCAGCCATGGGGCAGGAAAGTGTTCTTTTTGGTTTCAAAGGACAT